ATACAGTGACTACATTTTTGGATCTCCGGTACAGGGTTGTTTTATCTGATGAGCAAATCAGGTCTGCTAAGACTTTCCTTTCCAAAAAAATTGTTTCCCCAACAGTTCAAGTAAGTACATGCATGCATGACTAGTAAAAATGCTACACACTTAAAATTATATGACACATTGATGACGTGTTGGTAGCTAGTTCTGATGAGGTCAAACACAAAAACCAACTTACACATGTGACCATAATTGACAAAAGGTACCTTATGGCGTATAGGAAAATTGGTCTTTATAGCCTAAAAACTCTAACTTCCCGAGCTCCATTTATCATAAAATTACTCCAGAGAATGCAAGAAGTTACTATGTAGCTCATAGAAACAATTGTTGACTAACAGAGCACTCACAGGTTGATATTTTTCATTAGAAAGATGATTTATAAAATCCACCATAAGGTACCTTTTGTCAGTTATGGTCACATATATTCGATCGTTTTAAAAATTTTGGAGTTTTCATTAACCCTGACAAATGTGAGTTTGGTCTATCCTCATTACTCTTTCTTGGTCATATAGTCATTGAAAATGGTATCCAACCATTAGAGTCTAAAGTATCTGCTGTCACTGATTTCCCTTTACCTCATTCTCAGCGTCAACTCTGACAGTTATTAGGTCTCATTAATTTGTACCATCCATTCATCCCTCACTGATCTCAAACTCTCCTACCTTTGTACTCTTTACTCTCTTCAACTCCTGCTCGTTCTGGACTGATGATTTTGTCAATGTATTCCATAATGCCAAAAGTGCACTAGCTGAAGCCAGTCTACTGTATCATCCTAAGCCTGATGCTCTGACTGCTATTATGTCCAATGCTTCAGATATAGCTGTGAGAGCTGTTTTACAACAATTCATTGATAATCAATGCAAGTGTATAGCCTACTTTTCTCACAAGTTAACTCCCATGGGAGCTAGATACAGCACTTATGATAGAGATGTATTCACTGTATATTTATCCATTCGTCACTTCATATACTTTGTTGAATGTCGTACCTTTTCTGTTTATACTGATCACAAACCACTCACTCTATGGTTACAAAGTCTGATAAACGTTCACCATGTCAGTGTCGACATTTGGACTTCATATTGCAGTTCACAACTAACATCAGATATGTTTATGGTCCATTGAATCCAGTGGCTGATGCATTATCTCGCATTGAGCTTTATCAGCTGTCGTCATCAGACACACCCCCAGTAATTAAATTTGAGGACATGGCTCTAGCTCCAGGAGATTGTCAGTTTCTTTCTGAGGAAACTCCTACACTCTCCATTTGGAACAATTTCCTATTCGTCATTGTAATCTCACTCCCTGTTGTGACACTTCTAAGGGAACACCCCACTCAGCCGTACTGCCTTCATCTTATCGTACCGTGTTCGACTAACTTCATTCGCTCTCACATCCTCACATTCGTTCTACTGTGAAGCTGATTTCATCTCGATTTGTTTGGCCTCGCATGGCTTCTGATATCAAGTCATGGAGTCACTTAAGTCTCCCCTGTCAAAGGTCAAAGGTACATACACACATTGTCTGACCTGTAGGTACTTCCCCTCTTCTAATACATGGTTTGACAATATTCACATTGATATAGTGGGACCACTCGCCTTATCTCATGGTTTCACATATTTACTTACCTGTGTAGACAGGTTCACTAGATGGCCTGAAGCCTTTCCTTTGCGTGACATATCTGCTCTAACAATTGCTCGTGCTTTAGTAGCTAGTTGGATATCACGTTTTGGTGTCCCTTCTACAGTTACAACTGATAGAGGCAGTCAATTTGAATCGTCTGTCTTTGCTCAACTCACTCGTTTATTAGGTACAGTTAGATGTTGTACCACAGCATACCACCCTCAAGCTAATGGTATGATAGAGATTCCATTGTCAACGGAATGCTGCCTTAATAGCCCAATTTGTTCTTTTGTTAAAGAGGACTTACCCAGCTGAACTAGTTTATGCTACAACTGTTCGTTTCCCTGGTGAATTTTTCTCTCCTACAAATTCACTTTCACTCTCAAAGTTCTCGGACTATGTTGCTCAACTCAACTGTGACATGCGTTCTCTTTCACTCACACCAGTACGTTCTCCATCAACTCGATGTATTCATATTCTGGATTCACTCCCTTCTTCACATGTATTCATTTGACGCGATAGAGTAAAGAAACCTCTTCAACATCCTTATGATGGACCATATAAAGTATTGGAACGTACCGAGAAATATGATGTCATTGATATCAATGGTACTCGAGACACCATATCTATTCGTTGTCTCAAATCAGCACATACAGACAAAATTAGTTCCATTATTCTCCCTAACCATGATTCTCTCTTAACTAATACTCCTCATTCTCATTCTACTTCCTCCTCTACTCCTTTGACTACTGACAGTTTTAAGGCCAACACTACACATTTGGAGACTGACAGTACTTGCTTGGACACTGACACTAATTGCTCCAAGACCAACGGTACTCACTTGGATACTCGTTCTAGTCAACGCGTTCGTTTTCCTAAGCTACTCAATACGTTCACTTGTTCTCTGGAAGGGGAGTACTGTAGGGTATACCAACTATACTTATCGTATGTTTATCATTTATTATAAGTATCACTTATCATTTTTAATGTTATTATTAATATTTGGCTATTATGGTTTCAGTCATGAGAAGAATATATATTTTATTTTTATTATTGTTATTATCATTGTTAATATTCAGTGGTATTATCACGCATGCGCAGAACCCACACATGTTCTTTGGTTCATTGTTTTCTCCTTTTGTTCTCCATCTCATGTTTGGCTACTCTTTTTATATCAATATTATTGTTATCCATGTCAATCCTATCTTATTTGATGATAACATTTTGACAACCAAACTATTCGTTGCTAACTGATTTTTTCAGGGCTTACTAGCTGCAACAGCTTTAGTATGCATATGTAGTTAACCAGATGTGTACACAATTGAATATGTACATAATTGAACAAGTATTAAGTATAAGTATGTCATTTTTGTATGCTAATATGTTCCGTTCCACTGACAAAATTAATAACCATTGAACCCATAATAATTCAGCTGTTAAATTTAATTTCGGTGCTATGCAAGCTTTAAAACTACAGCAATTATCCAAATACTCTTTGGTATGTACGTCTTACTAGTCACTTCTGTCAATAAAATTTATTACTCAACAATAAACATGCTTGTAAAAAAAGATAGGAAATAATTTTGCAATTTTATCACAAAAAGTAGGATTTTCTAGCTTTTTAACAATAACGCTACAGAACTCCCCCTTTGGGCTGTAAAATTAATTGCCTGTGTGACAATGAATCTCACCGACGAAATACCGTATAGCAGGTAACTGTTCAGAGAGTTAAATTTGGCAATTTGCTAAATTCCCTTCAGTGGAAAGAAATAAGACTTCTGTGATTCCTAGACAGCATTACCCAGATCAAACTCTCTACACACTTCAGTTCTTGTTATTCCCCATGCAAAACTGTGGCAGCTGTCTAATAATTTTTTTAAAATCAAAAGTGCTATAAGTATTTCAAAAAGGGCTGATATTCTTAAAGCCTTTTTACAACCAATTAATTGTACAACATGCATGCATTCACAGTTAAGAGTAAAATATTGCCTATATCTACATCATCAGACAGACTGAAAAATTTGATATAAAGTAGCCATTAATTTTTATTTTCTTATTACTGCATAGTATGCATGTATGTAATTAATGTATTTCTAATACACATTATTTACAATTTGTCCTCATCATCAGAATAGTATAATTAACTAGTTTGTGTTATGGCAGGTAATTAGTGTCAACATTGTGTGAGGCAACAATTTTATAAATACTATTTCACATTAAACTCAGAATTTTTATACCCAATAGATAACCTTTCATTAATGCAGAATTAATTATAATACTATAGTTTATAAGTGTGATTTTATATAAAATGGCCAAGGATTCTTACTGTTTAGGTTTAATGAGAAGTAATTTTTAGATATTGTAAGGTATACAGAATATAGTAGGGTCGCTGCGAATGTTTGACATTATTTGCTAATCTCTTAAAATCACTAGTAAATACGTTGTTTGTAATTGGAAGGAAAGATTAACAGAGAACTGTATAGAGGTCGTGGATATTATTACACAGTGCCTTGTTAGTACATAGGAAATCGAAACATTAAAGCATTTGTCAGAGTGCTGTGGTACAGCAGCCATCTTTCAAAGTGCTGTAGTTGGTTTACTAATATATCTTATTAGTGAACAGTCACAGGAACTTTTGCCTGAAAGCAACTTCACAGCTCTTTAAGTTGGGAGTTTCTACAGCACTTAAAAAGTAGGATGTCAGATTATAGTTTATTTAGTAAGAGAACATTAATCTACAATTTCAGTCTAGGAGTTATGTCATTGTCAGTGAGGTACAACAACACGTGTGAATTAAGGACACTTGTTTTTGTAATATTAAATTCACAAGGTTTGTTTAAGAGATTCACAGCAAAGAACTGATTCAAGTAGAATAGCACTTCGCTAAATTAAAGCCTTAAAGCAATGTCACTCTGTTTCTAATTCATTGTCCTTGTAGAACATTGATAGTACCCACAAACTCATGAGGTAGTAATTTATATTGATTTCGAATAATATATTATGCATTGCATCTTTACACAGAATATAATAGCTGATGACTGTATAGATGGTTATAGTGGAGAATCATTTTCCTCAATGAATCCACTAATTAAAGAGCTGATATGCTTTTTTCAACTTTTCATTAATTTTGTCACTAAGTATGGCCTTCCAAGCTGTGTATGACATAACATAAAGCGGGGAATTTTGGTGTAGCAGAGTTCATGAATCAAGCTGTGACTGACATTCACTTCATCAGAGTTATTTACATCAATGAAGAACATGGCATGTCTGCTTTCTTAAACTTCCTTGCTGCATTTGGACAGCAGTACACTACAGTCGATTCGGTCATGCAAGAATTTCCAGTTATGATATTGAGCCACCATTTTATTTCACTGTGACCGCACCCCTTTTCAATGAAAGATTATCAAGTCTTTGAAAAAGTAGAAAATGCTTTACACAAATAATATGGCTGATGTACGTGTACAAACAAACGTACATACAAACATACATACTCGTCTCGTTTATGTGGGGCGTGCTCAGGCTCGCATTAAATAATTTTCAGTTAAAGAATACTTCGTTTCTTTTCTGTTAATTTTTTAGAACAAATTTTTACATATGGGCAAGATTAATCAAATTAACAAAGCAATAATCATGCACGAGATGATAGTCTAATAGACTAGCAAAGAAGAAATTAACAAAAATGTATTACCAAATACCAGCAAAGATAATGATTAAGGATGCATTGTGATTGGTTTAACTCTTTATAAGCTAATAATGCCATGAGGTGAGTTTGTGTGGTTTGCAGTAACGGCTAGCAACTATGGCGGCAGTCCTTGCAAAAAGCAGTTAGACACGCATCTAGATTTGTTGTAAACATATGTCAGTACAGTAAAAGAAAATCTGTACACAATCAAAGGATGGAACATTTATTAACAGACATATTCCTAGGATGTTGCGTCATTTACTACAACTTGTTCTACCATATAGAAGAACAGCTTCTTCTCAGTGTTAATAATGATCTCCCTAGTTGCAATTATTCCCAAATCCAGTTGCAGATCTTGGGTCTCTGTAAACTATCATCTGATGAACATAATGACATTAGAATTTAAACATTCATAATTCATAGTTTAGTTACTTTTTATTCAGTTTTATTTTATATATATTGATATCAGTTCATTATAAGAACCATTTTTAGTTACTGCTTATGTGATTTACATCATTTTTATGGTTATCAAATACACTTACATTGGAATTGATTAGGATGTACCACTGCCAGAAACAGCTGAGGAAGACCAGATACATGTACTAGCAATAATTAATCCCTTGTCAGAATGACTACAATAACCAATGTGACAACATCTCTTTTTCAAGCAACATTGACTCGTTGGATGTGCATATTTATATCTATGCATTGCATTTCAGGAGTCAAAAATTGATATCAGTTAACAATTAAATGCAAAGTAATGCAATGTAAATAATGTCCACAATTCCATGCATCACAACATTATTAATATTAAAGAGCCATGCACCAATCCGTTAATAAAGTTAGATATTGCATAAACCCATTATACTTTGTTAGAGAAAAAATTTTTTGTGGTTCTTAAAGACAGAGTAGTCCCTTGCTTTGTTTGTAACATCAGCTTTGTCATAGCACAAGCAAAGGTACAAGTATAGGTGAGAGATGCAAATACAAAAGGAGGAATACTCTCTGCTGCTGTAGGAAAGATTTCAAGTTTGACAATGTTAGAACCTGCACCTGCAAAGAAACATGCCAAATAATTTGTTGTGGTTACATTAACCCACTTTGCAATGTTCCATGGAAGTAACAAGGAGCATATATTTTGCTTTGTCCCAATCACTTGCATTGCTTTCCTTTTTAGAAAATTTGACTGTAGTAAACAGATGTCGCAGCTTTTTTAAAATAATGTTAGATGTGAACATAGAAAGAATTATTTCTTTGATATACTAGCTGTCAGTGCAATATCAGAATAATTAGCAAAAGCCTCCGTCATGCCTTTAACTTTCTAGATACCTTCTTGAAACTGTGACAGTTCAGCAAAACAATGCAATAATTATAACATTTTGAAGGATTACAGATTAAATGTTTCTGTTCTTGTCTTTTATTGTCAACATGGACACTAGCTAATTGAAAGCAGTATCAGACACTTCCACATTATCTGTTAACAGTTCCTTAAGCTCAGTGCTTTCATTGCAGAAATTAATCTACAACAATAACTGTGCACTTGCTTTATGTAGTAAGCACAACTGCATGCGATACACTACAAGTAATATACAAAAAACGTTACAAATTGGATAATAGTATGATTAAATTGGGACAAAGGTAAGGAAACAATATGGTACTTGCAAACTGTTGTGGTAAGATATCCTATACTCTACTGCAGGAAGATTATTGCACCAATTAATAACAAATTGGCCAGCTATCTGATAGCAATATCAGCCTTTTTTTCATCCATTGGTGTAGGATGTCTTACCACACCAGTTTGCAAGTACCTTTATGGTTCCTTTTTTCCCCATTCAGTCCTACCATTTTTACATTTTTTATTGAAGTTTAGGTCACCAAAGTTAATAGAGGCAGGGTCAGTGGTAGTTATATTACTTATGAGTAATAACCAGTAGCTTGTAGTAGCAGTAAGTCTGATAGCAAGCAGGAGCATTGTAGCAGGCAGTAGCATTAGTGCAAAGCATCTTGTATTTCTCTAGTTTCTTCTCCTATCAACCCTACGTTATTCTTTATTGGCTGTCGTGGTAGCCAGCTGTATCATTATAAGGTCTACGCCTAGCTCATCCATGGGATCTACAGGTACCGCCAACATCAGTCTCAATGGGATTCCAGCTCCAGCGTCAAGAAGTACATCGTCCTGGGAGTCTTGCCCCAGCCGCTTATCGGACAACGAGCTATTATGCATCACATATGCCGTGTTAGCA